GGGGGGGGCGAAATACAACATCCATTCCTAGCACTTGATCTTGTTGCTACTAGGAATGCAGTATTTTTTAGAGTTTTAGAACCCTGACTAGGAGCTGGGAAGCATTTGCTATTGTTGGCTCTGCCACTAATCTGTCCTGTAATCTTCTGTCAGTTCTTTTTCTTGGATTTACCAATTAGAAAGTGAGGAGGAATCTGAAACTTTCTCAAACTATTTTGAGTATTTTGAATGAAACACGGTATGGTGGAGTTGTGTGTTAGGATCACTAAGAGAAAGGGGATGGGGGCTAGGGGGAAGACTAACCTGACTTACTGAAAGGTTGCATTTATTTAAATATCTTTCCATAGGACGGCAGTTCACCATATGGTGGGAGGTATATAGGATCAATGGTAGCTGATGTGCATCGCACACTGGTGTATGGAGGAATCTTTCTGTACCCTGCTAACTCCAAAAGTCCTAAAGGAAAGGTAAACCTGAATGAGCCTAATTATAGAAAATGTGAAGTTATTTAGCTATTTCACTATAAGATAGCAATGTTTTATATAATGTTGATTCCAGGGAATATTTTTACATCTCAGTGGCTTGCATCTCTGGTGCCCAGGGGTGGTGGCCACCAATGCACATTGTTATAAATGACGACAACCTGTTCTCAAGATGACTGACTGTTTTATGGCTGCTGCTAACTGTTTGAGCTGTGCTGCTTTCTCTTTATCCTCAAACATTTTCAGATTATGAAACATGAGCAGGAACATCGGAAGGGGTGTCCAGTTTGAACAGGCTTCTCCCAGCCCAAACCGTGCTCTTCCAACCGCATAACACATTACAAAGCATAGTAAACAACCTGCATTAGGCTGAGATTCCTATTGTAAGCGAGTATGTAAGCCAGTATAGCAGAAAAAAAGACGTAGTATGCTCTTTATGAAAAGCTCTGCCAGACGACAACACATCTGCGTCTTCTACTTGGTAACACAACCGCATCTGGAGGAACTATGCCTGGCTACCTCTGCAGGACCTCAGTCACATAGAGAAAAATCACAGCTCTATAGGCTAACAAGGGGACTGTTTATTCAGCAAAGACCTTTCATCTGTTTTGCAATTGTCCATAAAGCATTGCCTCAGTTTGCAGATAAGATGCAGTTATTCATTACAGAAAAATAATGGCACACTCAGGGCCAATGTTTTTCTTTCCTTCCACCCAGGCCTGCATGGTCTGCTGCTTTGTCCCTCTGAGAAGAGCACAATGCAAACATGAACTCAAGAAAGTACTCAAATTGGGCAACTCCAGCATTCACTTTGTTTTTTGAAAAGAGCACCCCACAATTTCATTCCTATATCAAAACTTTACATTAAACGCAAAGTATTTAGTGTGTTGACTGGTTTTAGTCAGTATAGTTTTTAATACTAAAATCGAGTGCCAAATATATTTATATTTCATGATTCACAGCATTTCCTAGACTGACCATCGCCACTTTGATTTTTGTCTTTCAGCTGAGACTGCTCTACGAATGCAATCCTATGGCTTTTGTTATTGAGAAGGCTGGAGGAATAGCAACAACAGGACATCAAGCAATACTAGATATTGTGCCTGAGGATATCCACCAAAGAGTGCCTGTTGTCTTGGGGTCTCCTGATGATGTGAAAGAGTACCTTGACATAGTCAAAAAGCATTCAGCTAAGTAGAGAAGTTGATGGGACCATACAGATAGGAAGAAATGCCTTATAGCTGAACCAAAGAACACACTGTGCAATACTGCAAGACTGAAATGTCAGACCTCTATAGCAGCAAAGCAAGTGAGCCATATTTTCATAACATTTTTTTTAAGGGAAATCTTCTGTAATCTCATTGTGCAACAAAAGGCATTAAAAGATTGTATTAAAGGGGGCATTAAAATTGAAAGCAAGGGGAAGATGTTTGCCTTTTCATTTATAATTTGTAATTACACTAAAGCCATTGTGCTACAAGAAAATCGTGTGTTGCAGACTGAGACTAACTGCAGAGTTAGCTTTCCCTAACGAGCTACAGACTGTCACCAAAATACCCGATTCCATGTCTCCTAAAAAATGTTAATGGGAAGAATCAGCAGCTTTTTACACTGAGTGACCTTTTCTAGGCCAGTCTCTAGTTCTTACGCAACAAATGTGAGCGCTAGCATAGATACTTTCACACATAGTGAGTAGCCATCCAGAAACAGCCTTTCAGTGTGGGCCTATTCTTACCCAGAAGTAACATTTGTGAAATTTTGAAATGGATAAGGAGAACGTGTAGACATTCTGCTGTGATTAGATTGACCATCTTTGCCAGATATTAGTTTGCTTCTCTGATGAAAAAGGTGTGTTTTGCTAGCAAGGCTATCCTCCCCAGGTGTTCTTTGTGTTATCCTGGGAGTATGGATTACCTCAGAAAAGAAAGATTGTGCTACACGAGCAAAAAAGAAGTGGTGAAAATTCCCAGAAAACACACTGACATTTATGCTGATTCAGATCATGCTGCTGGGAACATGACACTAGTGCTTGAAAGCTACAAGGGCTGTCCACCTGTCTGGGTACAGTTTATGGCTGTAGTTCACAGACTATTTTGCATCAGTCCAAATCTACCAGTCTTTAACATTTCTCCCTTCCCCTTACCTTTGCTAGATTTGAACAAAGGAACATGTGGGTTTCACTGTTTAGTAGAGCACAGAGGATCACTTACCCAAGCACTGCAGCCCACAGTCTGTGTGTTGATGACTTCAGGTACAACAGATAATAAGTCTGCCTATCTGAGGATTTACTTCTCTGTATATTTTAGTGCAGATAGCTTGTCTGAGCTTGATTCTTCATGTAAAATAGGAAATAAGGGTGTGGATAGGAGGGACCTAGAGGCAATGGCATGAAGATATGCTCTGTGAGGATAAATCCTGAAGGCCCTTATTCTGAAATAGATCGAGTTTTGGTGTATTTCAAGCACACTGGCAAACCTTAAATGGGTGTATATGTAGGTGTGTTCTCCAAAGTGATAAGGGAGGAGGAGTTTCTGAGAGGGTCCAGAGGGCATACTTGCTGCTAAGGAGGCTATTTCCAATAAGACCCTGTTAATGAAGATAGGACTCTCGGAGGCCTGATCCATCATAGGATTTGGACAATGCTGAAAATTTCCATTCAGCTCCACTCTGCTTGTGTTCTAGCTTTTAAGGTCATGAAGACCCTAGTCAGGCCCAGCACAATATCTAGCTCCTTTGTAGGCTGAATTGTGGTCTGGAAAACAAGTAGTCCATTGCTTCCATACTTTGCCTGATATGCCTCTGCAAAATCAGGCATCCCACAAAGTGCAGTGACAGCTGTCATGCCGTATACTTTCTAATTTCTGGCTTAATTCTCTTCCATGAGAAGAGTAGCGCCTACATCTCGCAGAAGGGTGCCGTACTGGCAGACTGAGGGCCAGTGTGAAAGGAGAGTGTTTACTGACCTCGACCTGTCAGAGCTGTGTCATTATGTGGGAGAGACCTCAGGGTTCATGTGCACGGCAACTGGGGGTTGACTGCAGATGAACCTGCTGCGATGGGGGCTCCTGTGGCCAGAGCTCTTGTTCATAGGCTCTCGCTTGTGTTAGGATCAGAACTGCTTTCTCTGTCCCAGTGAGCACCGACCGCTGGGACACAGCCAAGTCCTCACTTTCATGAAGGAAAGAATGCAATCCTCGCATCTGCTTTGTCTTTTCATTGTGATTTCAAAAGGAAGAGCAAGTCCCTCTCAGTTTGTGACAGTAAGCAAAGCTGAGAGGAGTGGTGGGAGATGCCCCCCCTCACGCACTGAAAGACCTCCCAGAAGGATCGCAGGCGTAGCCCCTATCTTGAGCATTTCCCTATTTGTTTGTTAGCTCTAGCACACATCCAATAACACTTTGAAAGGGTCCAAGCTCACCAACCCAGCTATAGCAGAGCTCATGCTAGGAAGGACTGTAAATCCCTCTGAGGTACTGGATGCTACTCTAAGAGCAAAGTACCTGACTGAAAGTTAGTTTAGCCATGCCTAACTTATTAGATTTTAAGTATTTAACTCAGTCTGTCTCCAGAGCCTTAGCTGGACACATTTTTTTATTTATTATACAAAGTAGAGAATAGTCAGAGGTCCTCCTAGCTTTTCTGTGGTTTTCATATTTCGACTTTTGACTACAATGCCTCACCAATTTGTTGACACAACCTAACTGCAGACAGAAGGTATTACAGCAGTCACTTCATCTACTGAAAGTATTTCCTTGGCTGTATTCTGCGCTCAACCAAATCAGGAATCCCTAGGCAGCATATGTCTATTTTTAAGACAACACACTGGCAGCAGATAAAGGTTATGGAAAGGAAAGCAATGCTGCCTGCGTTTACTAGTTGAGTTTTCCGTGTTTTGATTTTTGCCTGTAGGTTGACCTTTTATAGTTAGTAGGGTTTTTATCTGTCCTATGTACATCATATTTGAAAGTATTCCCCATGTAATCACTTGCAGGGAAAATCCTTCAGTAAGTTGGTTTTATAATTTCATTTCATTTCCAGAGTCAGCTATGTCTATCAAAGTGAGATGGAGAGATTTCACTTGTCACAGTGTCCATCTTCAGCTCCAGCTGCAATATTACCTACTATTCTGCTCAGATGCTGAACTATGGCATTTGGTGAAAGGTCAGCAGCTCTAATTTCAGCCAGCACCATTCACACAACTAACATTTAGATCCAGTTAGAAGAGGTGTCACCTTTAAGGCGCAGGGCTAGCCTATATGTCAATGGAAATAGGAATCACCCTGAGAGCTCTGATGTGGTCACTATGGTTTTACATTAGAGGACAAACCTTTTGTCCTCTGAAATCAGTATCTGACAGATCAGTATCTGTCAAGTTAATTTTTTAATTCATTTTATTCACTGGTGCTCAAGGCTTATAAAGAGTCTTTACACATTTTTGAAACAGT